CTCTCACAGGTCTGGGGTGATGGCTGTGTACTATGTATAGTACTTTTTGTGTGTACACGAGATGGGGTGTGGGGGGCTGATAAATGGCATGCTCTCACAGGTCTGGGGTGATGGCTGTGTACTATGTATAGTACTTTTTGTGTGTATTCTCCACAAGTAAAAAGGAAACATAATAAAAAGGAACTAAAACATTTTAAATATTACTCTCAACTAGTTCTCGTGCTTGGCTAAACTGTCTTTCATTTGTAGTATTCGCAATACGTGGGCGGCCTGCCTCAAGTAATTGTCCTACCGCTCTGCGCCATGGTTCGCATTCTTTTCCTTTGCGTTGCCATTTTGGAAGCTGTTAACGTGCTTTAAAGCCCACTGCTTTGCTTGTCTCTGTCGCTTTATAGGCCTGCTGTTGCTTGGCTTAACACTGAGCCGAAAGGTGAGTTAATTTCCAGTTCGATGGGTGACTGAGGGCTGTTGTCTCTGGAATATTGAACTCTGAAGCTTCTCTGCAGAAAGACTCACTGCATTGCCAGTGTTGCTCTGCTGCTGCTGGTTCTAGAAGTGGGTTCTGCTCATAGAGCCTTACTCTCCTATGATGACTAATGTCTGTGTGTGTGCTCCATCAATGTACCTGTGACGTCACAGCGCTGAGTTGATTATGCGCTGACTTTTTTCCTGTAAAGATGGGTAGAAGTTCCAAGCTCCCTCTACATTAGAAATTGGAAGTCTTCATTTGGATTTGCTTTGTTACTGTGATCTGTATTTTCGTTTTACTTGCTCTGTAATACGTAGGTTTCTTTTATTTTACAAGCTTCCCAAATGGGTATGTTTAGGCTTCTGCTGGAATGATTTTTTCAGGTCAGTGGTTCAAACCTAACTGCTGCTCTCGGAGAGAAACCTGAGAGGAACTGTCCTTACCGTAGCCCACTGGCTTAGAAACCCTACAGAGGGTTCCTCTGGCTCAGAATTTACTCCATGTTTGTGGAATTTGGTTTTTTGTTGCTTTGTTTTTTAGTAACCTTTTATTTTCTGGGCAAGAGCAATGTAGTTTCCCTTTCCTTGACCTCCACTGAAGGTCAGTGGAGCCCTTTGAGTCCTGTGCTTCTATGTTAGGACTGAAGTCATCGAGCATGTGAAATGTCTGAGTGTGTGCGAAATCATTGCCCTCTGTTTCCCGAGTTTAAATAATGGAAGCATGATCTGTTTTTAAGCCATCTGGTTCACTAGCGAACATTTTCTAAAATGATTATTTTGATCAATATTCTAAGTTACTAAATGTAAATATACTTGTTTTATGTGCTCATTATCTATTTACTGTGCTGTGTCTGCTAAAGAACATCTTACTTAACATTGTGTGTGTGTATGGGGGGGGTGTGTGTGTTAGGTGCCCTGTGGTCTGCTCTGACCCACAGCGACCCTCTGCACAACAGAACGCAGCACTGCCTCCTCCTCACGGTTGTTCCTGTGCTTGCGCTCTTGCTCCAGCCTCTGTCAGCCCATCTCCGAGGGCCTTTCGCTGCCCTCTTAACAAACATGAGTGACCAGGACCTGGGCACTCCCGACAATATGTCCAAAGAATGTAAGACAAAATCTTGCCCCTCTTGTCTCTTCCACGTCGGATCTGTTTGACCTAGTCTTCTCCGGCACCACAGTTCAAAGGCATTGATTCTTCTTTGGTCTTCCTTATTAAGTATCCAACTTCCACACGCATCTGAAGCAATTGAAAATACCATGGCTTGGACCAAGCGCACCTTAATCCTCCAAGTTACATCCTTGCTTTTCAGTACTCTAAGGAGGACTTGGGAAATTTAAATTTTGTGGGGTTAGAGGGAAGAGGGAACCTCATAAAACATCACAGGTTCGGTAGGCGCAATTATACAGCGATAATAAGAAGAGATTATAGTAAAGTCATAGAGAGCATGAGAGTTAAAGGATGGAGTCAAGGAATGGAGTCAGCCGCAATTCATGGTAGCATTGCTCACCTCAGCTCCGCTTAATGGTCCTCGTGGAGGGGGCTTAGCCGTCAGAGAAGAAGCCGCTGCTTCGTCTTCCTTAGCCACCTTCTCCAGCCACCCTCGGCCAGCCACCCTCCGAGAACCAGGGAGCCTCATTTTTTATTGCTAACCACGCATCATATCACTTTAGGGGGATCTGATTACAGAGGCATACATCACAGAAAGGGGCAATACATTTCATTCTTGAACAAGTTCGATTATTCTGGTGTCTCATACAATAAAGCAGACAATTTCTATTCTGGGAGGCATGCAAGTCCCCTGATAGCAGACAATAACCTGAGTCACAGGGAGGGGTAGCGACATAGGCAATACAGTCAATAGGGGGATGACATAGGGGTGTGCCCACATTTGTTGTGGGATAAACAGTGGTGTCTGCTTGATCTAGACAGCTGATAATGGCTACCTAACCTTGGTCATCCTTGGGTGGGTTTGCCCTCTCTGGTGTCTCCTGCAAGTAAACAGACCACCTCTATCCTTATCAGAGAGGAGTGGGTCTTATTTAGGGTGAGTCAGACTATAGATGGCTGATGTTAGGGAGAATAACCTCTGACCTACTTTCGCTGCCTAATGAACAGTCATTCTCAAGCTAAGTCTGGCATATATTTTGGGGAGACAATTTAAGAGAAATCCTGTTCCTCCCAAAATTTTGTTGTACACTTTTCACCCACTCTATTCAGGACCTTCTAATGGTATCCCTTTTTTAGCAGTTGCTAGTACACAGGCACCATCTAGTGCTTCTGGTCTCAGTGTCGTAGAGACTGCTGTTCCTATGGGCCATTGGCAATTGCAAGTCAGTTTGAATTAGCATTACTTTTGAGAATGTGTGTGTAGATGTGCAGTTAATACCCAGAGTGCTTACCGCCCATGTTCATGAGATACTTGTGGTTCCTTTCACTGCCGTGGCTGCTGGCCCAGCATGGATCACCTACATGGATTTTAATAAGTAGACAGAGGCACAGTGAACAATCTGAGGGGAAGAAGTTTTCCCTTGAGATGCATGGTGGTTTTGTCTCCAGGGGAAGTAACTCCAGATTTTATGCATTTAATTACGTGGACCCTTTGTCTACTCTCCTTGGTATCCTGAAAAGCTCTATCAGTCATCGTGTTATTGTAGAATGATAGCCATACTAATCATAGTTTCCATATGAACAGAAACATTGTTGTCAGGAATTCATGCTTGAAGGGCATATTGATCTGCATTCTGATCCTGGCTTATCAATAATCTATGTGGTCAACATTTTGCATGTGATTAGCTTATTTGTTACTTTACTCAGATGAGTGGTTTGCCATAATATCTGCTTATTAGAGACACCTAATAAGCAGGGCCAGGTTAAATTATCTGGTGTGACCACAAGCTTTTTTGAACACTTTCACGAAATTATAGTTACGGAACTGAAGATTTTAGGGTCTTGGCAGGAGGAAAAGTGTGCTGTGACACTCTCGATTAGGGTTCAGAGGTGACCTGGCTCACTTCACCTACTCCCTGGCAAGAGGTCTTTTTCCACTTTGAAACTGCTGTGCCTGCACACCTGTTGTTTCTCTTCCTTGTGCGGAAGCTGGTGCGCTGGGCCTTTGAACAGAGGTCAGTAGGACAGGTCTCAGTAGGTCATGGTTTGTGCCTCCCCGGAGCTGCTGGTGGAAGAGTTTGAGGGAAGCCCCTGTTGCTTTTATCTCCTGGAATTCACTGGCACTTACTTAATTATCAGTGTTCTCTGTGTCGCATACACACTGCAAAACAAGTGCTGATTTTCAACTGTTTATATTCTCTTATCACCAACCCGTTTTTTCCAGAGTTGTTAAGAAATGTATGACCAGATGAGCATTGTCAATATGTTCCTACAGACCCCTTGTTCTCTCATTCTTGTGAGGAGCAAAATCAACTGCTACTCTGCTGAGTTTGCTAGTTGTGAATGCTTCATCCTGTGCTTTATTGAGTTGCCTGGTGGATCCTTATGGAATAAGTGTCATTTTTCACTCACAAGGAAGCTAATTCTCTAGTCTGTTACTCCTTCTAACAGTTCTAGACCATACTGAGAGTGGAATAAGACTGCATTTGGTTGTGGTCACATTGCATAGACATTATTTTAGATTGATGTAATTCTGTGAGACAAAATGTAATGCATGAATAGGAGAACATAGTGAATGAAAGGCTAAGGCTAATGGTTATAACCTAAAAGTATGCCTCTGACAACATAGACTTTTGTGACAAATCCATGAACTTCTAGTGTCCCAGGACTGTCACCTTCACCCTTTGTTCTGTATACACTGGAGTACATCATACTATACTTACCAAAATGTTTGTGATATTTTAGGGCTCAATGGACATTGAGGATGTTGCGGTGGTCTTTAGCCAGGAAGAGTGGGCTTTGCTAGATCTTTCTCAGAGAAAACTTTATAGAGATGTGATGATGGAAACCTTCAAAAACCTGGAAACAGTGGGTAAGAGTAGTATCTTTTTTTTTTTAATGAATGAAAACATGTACTTGTCAGTATCTGTGCTGTACAAAGGACTGTGTTACTCAGTGAAACATGCCTGGCCTCTTGGCCTATGGAGCTTACATATTCTGGCTTTCCCAGGAACATAAAGTTCCCTATATTTTTAAAACATGGTTCTATTTCTCTTGTAAGCAATGGCTTCCATGACCATTTTGGGGCACTAGCAAATCAGTGATTTGAGAAATTATAAAGTGTGTGATAGTGTTTATTACAACATTTACAGGATTATTTTTCTGCAAAAGGCCTCCCTCTTGTCTATTTTCAGAGATACTAGACAGTACATTATTTGCTCGGTGTTAAAGAAATGCTTATTACCGTGCTATCTTCCCTCGTTGGCTTGCATGTTTGCATGAGCACCATGCCAAAGGTACTCATTAGTTTTTCCAGAAAAGCAAGGACAGTGGAGATAAGATTCATCCCGGTCAGGTGGGAAGCACAGAAAAGCAGCAGTGTTTCGCAGGGTAACCGTGCATGTTGGGAATTCTGTTTGCATGGCCCATCTAAACATCGGTGGAGTTAATGAGAAAGCTTCAGGCACCTGAGCTTTTCTGACGTTAACAATCTTCACACCTGTGGTTAAGGAGACTTCCCCCCCCCTTTTCATCTTAAGTGTGTATAAGTAGACTTCCAAAAGATTGTGGGGGAAATTCCACTGTCTTGTAATTCCAATTTCTGTTGGTTTGAATGTTTGAATTCTTTCTACTTTACTTTCTTAATTTCATTTTTATTTTCATTGCCACTGTCCATCTTTGTAGCTTTATTTTCTAGTGAACTTACTTTTAAATATTATAAAATTGCTGAACAAGAAAAATGTGGCTAAATGTTTTAAACCTTTTGCCTAACAATGTCTCCGTTTTGTTTCGAATCGTGAACCTCAACTTGGATGATTGCATCAGTCTCAGGAAACCTTCCTGACGCAGAGACGTCATTCACGGACCATATAATACTGCAGTTCATGAAGAAGACCACGTGCTCTTCCATGATAGGAGCCTATGAATCACATGGCTGTGAAGAGCCTCATAAAGCCCAAAGGAGACTCTCGAGGTGTGTTACTCTTACAAGAGTAAACTGTTCAGAAAAAGTCCTTATGTGTCAGACCATGATCTTTGTATATGTACATGTATATATACTTATATATACGGATAGGGTTAGAAGCATGTCAGTGAAAATGCAGACCTACAGTGAGATGGTGTGACTGCCGACTTTCCCGTGGCCCCAGGAACAGGGAGGCAGAGTCACCGAGGAGGCTGCAAACCACCAAGGAGTTTACTGACTAGCTCGAGCAAGGGCCCACGTGCTAAGGTACCAACGTAGTGGCCACCAAAGACAAGGACCCCGGCCTGGGGCACACGCCAAGCGTGTCTACTCTTTACAGGTTACATCAATTGGGTGAAACTATCCCCCCTGGGTGAGGCTATTTTCCCCTCACCCTCCCGTAGTTCAATGACTTTATCTGGAGGCAATCGGTTGTGCAGGTCTTGTTGGTTGACTGGCTTCACTCTCGGAACATTCCAATTGTGTTCACTCAGAACTTTTCCAGGTGCGGCCAGCACCACTGTGATCACTGGGCCTTGGCAGGTATGGTCAGTGTCATTTCGGGGGAGAGGGTGGCTTTGTTAGGGGAGTGAAACTCAAGGCTGTTAGAGAAACGAAACTTAAAGCTGGACGAAAAGAGAAAAAAATGAAACTTAGGCCTATTTAAAAAGGCTCGGCCTGTCATGGAGTCTGCTGCCTTACAATGGATTGAAACAGCTGTCACAGCAATACCCTCAGGTCGCAATGATCGTGAAGAGATACTTAAATCTGGCAATTTGAGATTTTGTTGTACATATTCTTACATATGTTACATACTGCTATTTGTTGAAACAATACTGTAACAGTATGTAACATTGTTTTTAACATATGTAACATAGTTATATATTGTTCTCTTATTGTGACAATACATAGCATTTGAAACAACTTTAGAGACTGGAATGGAACTCGAGTATCAATGATTGAGAATGGAGAGGCTCAGAGTTTTTCCAGAAGGGAAGAAAAATGGAAAAAAGACAGACGGGAAGGATCAGAAAAACAGAACTGGGAGCAGCAAGGTGGGAAGCTGAAGTAGAAAGTAGCTAAAATAGGGAACAAGAGAGGACCAGCCGAGCACAAGAGAAAAGCAAGAGGGGAAGACAAAGAAAACCAAGTGCTAATATCCCCTGGGGTGGTGGCTAATTGTGGGGGAGGGCAATGCTGCGAGACTGCTGCCTCACCCCCCCACAGGGGTGGGCCTGCTCCCTGTTGCTGGAGACAATGGATCACTTCTCCCTAAGGCTTGCGACCATTAGCTTGTGGTTCCTGTATTTGGAGTTCACACCCTACTGGTAATGGTTCCTATGGAGATCCAGAAAACAGGTCAAAGTTAAGCTGCCATCCTAATTCTAGGATCCGCCCATCTTGTCACGTGTATAGCCCCAATCCCTCCTCTTCCTATTGCGTGTATGTCCCTAGACCACCCCCTTGCCCACCCCTTCTCATTGCTATATAACCTATAGTGCAACCCCTTCCTGTGACGCATGTCTATCTGTAATTAGTGGGCTTGCACACTTCCAAAAGGTATATATAGGCCTGGGCTAGCAATAGAGATCTCTTGCTGATCGCTCCCCTCTCTTCCCCCTCTCCTCTCCAGTCCTCTCTCCGTGGTTCCCTTTCCCGTCCTCCTTCCCTTCCCCCTCTTTCCATGTGGACCATCAAGCGGGGCTGAGGTGAGCAATGCTACCATGTAATGTGTCTGACTGCATTATTATAATATCTCTTCCATCGCTCATGCTCACGATGACTTTAATATATATATATCTCAAAAAAAGGGTGAGCAATGCTACCTTGTAATATGTCTGACTGCATCATAGTAATATCTCTTCTATCTCTCGTGCTCTCGATGACTTTAATATAATATATATGTATCAACTGTACAATTGTGCTTACTGAACCCGAGGGTAGTGGGGGGGGGCGGGGCTGTCTCTCCCCCCACCCCGCCCACACACACACTTTATACTTCAGCTAATAACCAGTTTGGGAAGTTATTGTGTGTGCTATTGATTGAGAAGTTTGAATGCCCTGGGGGTAAACTTTGACAGGCACAGGAAGTTCCTTTGGCAAGGCCAAGAAGGTGTTGAGGATTACAGAAAAGAGATGCTTGTAATGGCTGTGTGCTGCTTTACACTCGGAGGGATCCTTTATTCTTGCCTTTTGATATTGGGCGCAGGGCTGAAGGTCTCATCTTCTGTAATTGGTTCCTGCTGGACAGGGCTGATGAAAACCTACCGTTGTCTTGCCTCAGCATGGCCTGGTGAGCGCCTTAGTGGGTGGAACTCAGCTGTATACAACTCCATGCAGGTTTGATTGGTCAAAGCATGCTTACGTTCCTGCAGACATTTCTGAAAACAGCAAAACAGTCAAGGCTTGGGACAGGAATGTACATATTACACTGAGAGGTCCCACGAGTGGCAGGGTCCAAGGGCAGGGCTTCTAAGAGCCTTAACTATTTTCCACGTAGGTCACCCTTCTCCTAACTCCTTTAGACAGGGTTGGACTTGCTCCTTTAATTGTTGTATCTTTTGCATAAGAGTGCCTGCTCGATTAACAAAACAACATTCCTCTCCTGCGAAGCCGCCTGGTTTGTAATGTCATCCCCGACAGGGAACTCACCTGGGTTTGTAGTGTTAAGAGAGTGTCACCTATTTCTTCCGTGTGACACTAAGTTCTTTTGAGTCTCATTTCCTCCTTCCCCCCCAGCAGTCAGAACAACCGCCACCATGCTGCCAACAACGAGAAGAGCGACTACCACCACTCTGTAGCAACAAAAAAAAAAATGAGGAGAGGAAGAAGAGGAGTACAGCAGGAGGGTGGCCACCACGTCTTCATCTAAGAAGTTATTGTGAGGTTGAAATGGAGGCGGGATGAAGATAGAGCTCAGCTGAGAAAGAAAAGTAAAGGAAGGCATTATTGAGGCTAGGAGAAAGTCCCAGGTGAATTCCACAACCCAACTAGTTCGGTCAGGAAAGTCGCAGCTTCGTCTGTGTGGGGTTGGGGTTTCATTTTTCTCCTTGATTCTTTTGATGCCAGTTTGGGTTATGGGCATGGGAGGCTTGCAGAACCAACATTGCGGCACATCCAGTTGAATTTGTCCCCATCCAAAATTCGGTTATTCTGCCTGTCCGAAATTTGCTATTTTCTTCCCGGCATCCATATAACCCTGCAGCTTTACACGTTGCTCAGGAAAGATGTAATGATATTTAAAAGACAACCTGGTCCCGGGTCTGCGGAGAAGGTGGGGGTGGGTGGTTATAGCAATTACAGGAGCAGAAGGGCATCTGTTGTCCACTTACTAACGTAAACATGAGAGACCACTGAAGAGTAGAATAATAGCCCAGTATGCACTTAAAAGTAGACATTTTTTGACTTCCGCTCCAATCTTTTGGAGAAACAGCCCCAAACAGATGCCCAAAAGGAACCCCCTGAGAAGACCCCCTCAATGAGACATACAATACTAAGAGCATCTCCTGAGACTATCCTAGAACAATGACCCATTGGATAAGCTAACGCAGCAGGATCTCTAGTGTTGGAAGAGACGGGAACAGAGGTCTTCAGTCCACTGGAAGATGGCTTCAGGGGTGTTAGGTGGATAGAGCCAGGCAGTATCCTTGAGCACACTCCGAGCTGTGAGTATCTGTCCTTCAGGAATCTGAGAGACCCTGCAAGATAAAGTAAGCTTCGTTGGTCCTTACCTGAGAGGAGTAGGAATTGGTGGGTTGGTTAATCTCCTTATTAGATGGATCAGAGGAGGAAAAAGAAGACAGAGATTTGGGAGGGAAAGGTTTAATCATTGAAAGGTGGAAGTAGGCGGGTTTCCCTGATAGCTTTACTGCTGTGGGGTTGTTAGAAGGACCGTGTATGGCGTTTCCCGTTTAGGTGCTAGGGGATCTGGTTGTCTTGATTTTAATACTTTTCTGGGAGAAACTGAAAAATGTATCTCTCCAGTGGGGTAAGATTGAGGTAGGTGTATATTTGCTTGTGCCCTGAAGATGTCTTAACAAGTTTTAGAGTGGGTGTACGATCTCCTAACAGAGGTGATGAGGAAGAGAAGTTTTCTAAAAGGAAGGGTCTGCCAAATGGGCTGAGAAGAAGAGGTTTGCAAGGTGTGGCTCTTATACGCCTTAGGACAAGAGGTAAGAGCTGAGTCTAAGGTACGTGAAGTTGGAGAGATTGTCTGGGTAAGTGAGATGTAAGGATATGACTGGCTGTTTCTACTTTTCCTGATGAGCGAGGGCGCTAATCTATGTGTTGATTCCATTGTATGTTCAGAGCCTGAGCTGTGAGCTGAGTTGTTATGAATTGAGGGCTGGACCGTAGTCTGATTGTCAGGATCTGGTCGGCCACAACAAGGAATGATTTCATCTAGGAGCACCTGGGTGGCTTGTTTTGCCCCTTCTGAGGTAGAAGGAAGTGCTTCCAACCAGGCTGACAAAGTGCCAACCATTGTGAGCGGGTATTTGACCTTTCCATGGGGGTGCGTGGGTGAAATAGATTTGCCAGTCTTGTCCAGGAACATGCCCCCTTGTCTGGTGGTGGGTGGTAAGTGAGCGGTGATGAATTGTTCCGAGTCCATCCGCGTGTGATCTGTTGAGCGTTTTGGATAGGCGAGGGTGAGCAAACGCAGATGTTACTAGTTTTTCAAAGGAGGGTGGTGCCACACGTGCAGAGTGTTATGGGCATTCGTTAAAATGGACAGTGCCTGTCTGTCTGGTAAGATATATCGGCCTTCCGTCATGCTCTATCCATCTCTGAATTGAGCTGCTTTAGAAAGAAGTTCTCGGTTTTTTTCTGTAAGGCTGTAGTTGGGGTGGACAGGAGGGATGGCTGTTGTAGATCAGATGGGGTTTGTAGGGCAGCTTCATTGGCTTCAGTGTTTGCCCTGTTGTTCCCACTGCTATGGGATCAGTGGGATGTGGATGTCCCTGGCAGTGAAGGATAACTGCCTGGTGTGGGAGGAGAGCAGCCTGGGA